CAATCAAATATAAGTTCGCATCCGCTAATTAGAGACAGTACCGTTTGTTTCATGAAGCGGAAGGCGAGGCACCAGCGACCGACTCCGACGTAGCAGGCAGGAGCTTCCGGCACCACCATAGTTTTTTCATCCGGCCCTAGCGACACCATCCGAACACTCCGCTAGCTAACATTAAACACAAATGCAAGTAAATATAAGTTCGCATACGCTAATTAGAGACTGTACCGTTTGTTTCATGAAGCGGAAGGCGAGGCACCGGCGACCGACTCCGACGTAGCAGGCAGGAGCTTCCGGCACCACCATAGTTTTTTTCATCCGGCCCTAGCGACACCATCCAAACACTCCGCTAAGCAACATTAAACACAAACACAAGCAATTATAAGTTCGCATACGCTAATTAGAGACGGTACCGTCTGTTTCATAAAGCGGAAGGCGGGGAACTGGCAAGCGACTCCGACGTAGCAGAGAGGAGCTTCCGGCACCGCCATGGCTTTTTCTTCTCCGCGAAAGATCCGACTACACGAGATAAAGAGATTTTACCAAAATGGAGGCATGCGGGGCGATAACCCTTCGAATTCGAGGGCGCCTTTCGAGGCACAGAGGAAATATCCGGTGCTGTGGAGCATTTCTCACATTCAATGGACACGCGGTGATAGACGGTCCAGATTCATTCATAAAGCGATATTTTCTGATCGAAAAAGATAGGTCCCATCGAACAGCGTTTACACTGAGGAAATATCCGGTGCTGGGGAGCCTTTTTTCCATTCAATGGATACGTGGTGATGGACGGTCGAAATTCATTCATAAGACGATAAGTTCTGATCAAAGAAGATGGGTCCCATGGACCAGCGTTGATAGGACCTATCTCACAAAATTCACGTGTGAATAAAATAATGGTGACACCCTTGGTTAGGGTCAATTTGTATTAAAAAAATTTAGGATGATTTTATGATAATCATGAATTATATGATGTAGATTTTATACGTACTCATATCATATAATTAATAATTAAAATAATTATCAACGATTTAAATAATTTAGTAATTATTTTATTATCCTGAAAAAAAAAAATTTGAATTCAAATAGTATAATATAAGGATAAAATAAGATAAAAAATAAAAAATAATTATTTTTTATTGTATAACCAACATAAAAATAAAAGATAATTGAAATAATTGTCATACAATTTTGTTCACAAAAATCATTAGTCTTGCTATAATGATATAGAAATATTTTATGTAGTTCAAACGGTGTAAAACCAATCATAAGATTAAGATGGATTGAATGTAGAAAAAAATTCTTTCTGTTTAATCGTCTTAATTTTATAATGTTGTAAAATTCAAACCATAAAATTGCTGAACTCTTTAAGTTTATGATTTGGATGGAGTATATTGCTGCCATATTTATTTGAGAATGGTGGAAAATTATGAGATTTTAACAATTAAAATATCAAAAATAATAATAATATTTAAATATTAAATAAACCAACACACAATAAAATTTTATTTGGGATTTTTGAAAAATTTCACGAACAATACTAATATTTTAAATATTACAACATTTTGATTGTCACTTTTCTCTTTTATCTATGATTTAGCTTTTGAAATTGAATATAATGAATTAATTTCAAAATTACATGGGTTTACCACAATTCTGTAATTTTTTTGAAAAAAAATAAAAATTAATCAACAACTTAGCTGTTTAATAATAATATTCCTCTCGGTAAAAAGTAAGAGATATTAGGTTTTAATTATAATTATACAAATGAAGTAAATAAAATATATAAAAAAGGAAAATGATTTTTGTATAATATTTTTGTTCTTTTTTTACAATATTTTTATCTTTTTTTTTGTATAATTTAATGTGTCATTAAAATGATTGGTTCTTTTAATTGATATGAGACTCGCGATATTAAACGCATCCACTCATTTAATGATATATTGAAATTGTATGAAAATGTAATATAAAAAGCTGTCCCTATAGCATTACCCTATAAAAAAATTATCTCTTATTATGCAATTTAAAAAAAAAACATTTTTAAATTCAAAAATAATAGAAAGTTAATAAATATTTTGCAC